CCTTCCAGAAGCTCACTCTGAACCGTGGTAGAAAGATGCCATCAGATCCCTGAGGGGAAGGGGAGACCAGGGCTGAGGAAGGAGAGAGAAAAAGGCCAAAGCGTGGAGTCCAAGAAGTCTAAAGAACGGCGGGTACTCAGGAACAGAGAGGGGGCAAGGGGGTCAGGAAGATGCTGAAAAGGCTGGACCAACCCCTGCCCTGCCCGGACCCCAGAGCACAGAGCTGGGAGCAGCTCCAGAGCACCACCAGGTTTACCCCAAAAACAAAATACAAAAAGAAAGAACTGAAATGAGCTAGGTCAGGGCCCCTTCCGGTTTGCAGCTGTCCAGGCACTTAGGACTCACTGCAGGGCCCTATGGTGTAGACGGATGCATCTTTCCTGAAGATGCATTGAATTTTCACAAAACCTAGCACGCCCTCCCCTCCTCCCCCACTTTAGTGATGGGCATCTGAGGCACGGAGGTGATGGCCCAAGCTCCTAGCATGACCAGGAAGGCCACTTCAAACCTGGCCCTTCCAAGGACTTCATTCTCACAGGCCAGGCTGATGTCAGACCCCACCCCCAGAACCTGAAACTCTACAAGATAGAGGGGCAGGGCAAAGTGGAAAACAAGGCTTGGGGGGGGGGGAGTTTTAGGGGACCAGCAGCAGTCTGGGTGACAGGAGAGCCAGCTGCTCCAGCATCTGGTCTCTAGGGGGTCCCCCCCGCCCCCTCCCCCGCAAAGGGAAACGTGTAACAGGTAGGTGTTTGGTCGTTTCTTTTTTTTTAATTTATTATCTGTAATTATGTTATTATCTGCTCACTCCTGGCGCTGCACTCAGGAATTCCTCCTAGAAGTGGATGCCAGGATCAAAATTGAGTTGGGGTGGGGGCTGGAGCAATAGCACAGCAAGCACAGCGGGGAGGGCGTTTGCCTTGCAGGCGGCCGACCTGGGTTCCATTCCCAGATCCCATATGGTCCCCCGGGCGTGATTCCTGAGTACAAAGCCAGGAGTGACCCCTGAGCATTGCCAGGTGTGACCCCCCCAAAAAAAAAATCGAGTTGGCCATGAGTGAGGTCAAGCGCCCTACCCCCTGTACTATGTATGGCTCAGCCCTCAAAGGTGGATGTATGGGAAGGAAGGGCTTGTCTCAAGGGAGAGCAGCCAGGAGGGAACCAGGGGACACCCAACAGGGGAGTCAGCAACGGAGGGACAGATGCAGAATGAGCTCTGAGTACTGGACAGAAAGTCACATAGGAAGGGAGTAACAAGTGGCCAATGGTGGCTGCATAGTAGCCAACGGGACTGAGTCAGCTGGGGGTAGGACGGGACCCTGAGACACTGGTGAAAAGACAGACACTCTAGTGAGGGGTATGGATTTGGACACTGTAGGCCAGAAACTTTTGGGGCGCAGGGAGCCTGGCAGCCCTCAGGGCTCACTCCTGGAGGGGTTGCCCTGTACTGTGCAGGGAACAAACCTGGATCGGCCCCTGCAAGGCAAGAGCCTTAACCCCTGCCCTGGCTCCCCAACCCTGAAAGTCTATTATAAACAGTATTTTCTTTTGGGGGAGGTGGTTGTTTAAGGGGCCACACCCTGTAGTGCTTAGGGCTTACTCCTGACTCTGTGCTCAAAGGGGCCACTCTTGAGAGGGCTCAGGAGGACCATCAGGGGTGCTGAGGATTAAACCCAGGTTGGCTGCGCGCAAGGCAAGTGCCCTGCCTGCTGTACGATCTCTCTCAGCCCCTACCAGGAACAGCGCCACAAATCACAGCACCTAAATAAAAATGAGGGGCAAGAGCAAAAGGTGGGGAAGGACTATAAGTAAAATCAAGCAAACAGGAATGAGCCCCAGCAGAGGGAGGAGGGCCAGCCCTGTGGGGAGGAGGGAGGAGCAGAGGCTGGTCCTTTCATCAGGGCCGGTGTAAGGTGAGCCCCATGCTGCCTTTCTATTTGTTTTTGGTTAAGCTCAGTTTCATTGTGGCAGGGCCTCCTGCGGCGGCGCTCACACCTTCCCACACTTCTTTACAAAGAGAATATTAACCAGTGAGGGTGCGAGCCCTCCGGCAGCTCTGGCCCCTGCTCCAGGCCCTGGGTGCCAGGGTTCCAGGGCCCTGGGTAACTGGAGGCTGAGCACAGTTAGGGAACACAGTACCGGAGCACTTCCAAGCCTCAAGCCCTCTCAGGGAGCCGCAGCTCTCCACCCAGAGTGTACAAGCAATGGGACACTGGAGGGAGGAGCTGCAGAGATTGGGGGTTAGAACAGTCTCCTTCCCTCCATTCTAGAACCAGGAGAGGAACCAAAGGAATGGGATACCTGGCTGAGGGCCAGAGAGACCTACAGTGGGTAGGGTGTGAGCCTTGCCCAGCCCTGCCACGAGTGATCCCTGGGTCCAGATTCAGGAGCACCACTGGGTGTGGCCCCCAAACCAAAATAAATAAATAGAGAAATAGATACTACTGGAGCACAGGATGACCCCCAGCAAACTACTGCAGTTCAGTGCCCCGATGTGTTGTGAAAAGGTGGACTCCGGTGTAGGCTGGCAGTCTCTCTCGGCACATCTGAGCCCCAGATACTGCTTCTCAAAAAACCAAGTTTGTGCCCAGGAGCCAAGGGCCAGTCCCAGCCAAGTTCAAAGCCCCAGTACTTCAGGCTCTCCTTAGTATCCCTGGGGGGAGGAACCAGGCAAAGTTCCCTCCCTCCAGCTCTGCAGTCACAGGTGTGGCCTCAGTCATTGTGGCTTCTGTCCCAGGGCCATTCCACCTTGGACTGGCAGAAGGAGCCCCCACTCCCACCCCCAAAGGTGTCCCAAACACTTGGGGAAATCCCTCAAATGTGAGTGCATGGGACACAGTGAGTGCCGGAAGCACCACCAAGCAGCCCCTACCAACACCTGCAGCCCCGAATCACTCAGTGCCCTTCTCCCCTCTATACCAGAAGCAGCTCCTAGCAACAGCTCTACTGGGTAGGCTGTCCCCCTCCTCGCCCCCCAAAGCATCAGGGAAACTGCAGAGGCCCCGAGGCCCCTGCAATGCCAGGAGCACTGCTTGGGAGACCAGAAATACATAAATGAATAAAATAGAACAGCACAATTCACATGTGTCAGGCCCTGGGTTAAGAGCCCCAATGCTAGAAAATAAACACTCCTGTAAGTAAATATACACAAATAAAAGTAAATAATAGTGTCACTCTCTACAAAAATGATAATTTTCATTCACAATGCAATTTTTGTTTGTCTGTTTTTGGTATTTGGGTGCTCAGGGCTTACCCCTGGCTCTGTGCTCAGGGATCACTCCTGGCGAGCTCAGGGGACCAAACGTGACATCACTGTCACTGTATCACTGTCATCCTGTTATTCATCGATTTGCTCGATCAGGCACCAGTAACGTCTGCGTTCGTCCTAGCCCTGCGATTTTTGCAGCCTCTCCTTACTCGTCCTTCCCAACAACGTGTCTCATTCCCCTGACCCAGAAAGAACCTCAAATGCGGCACCATCAGGAAGGACGAGCAAATGTGGCATGGGGGGATCAAACTTGGGTTGGCGGCATACAAGGCAAGTGCTCTACTCACTGTTCTATCATTCGGGCCTGACAATGAAATTATATTACCTAGGTCAGTCAAAAGGGCTGAGAGCCAGGGAACTAAACCTGGGTCCTACCAAATATCCCCTGAGCAAGAGCGCCATGTGACCAGCACTTGCACCAGACCACTCTGTGTCCACACACTCCCACTTCCTGATCTTAGAAGCCAGCTCCATTTTGCCAAAAAACAGCAGCCGTCTCCCACTGAGGCTGTGGAAACCTCCCAAGCCACCCACACCCTTTGACAGTAAGTGCCATGGCCTCTGAGGGGGTCCTGCTAGAATGCGGAGTCCAAGGACCCGGCTGGAATGTCCCTCCCTCCATTCATTCCTGTTGTCCGGGCCCAACCCTGGCCCAGCCCTGAGCAGCCTCATGTCCGCCCCACTGCCAAAGGGTAACAACATCTCTCAGATTTCCCCCCAACCCCCCCAACAAAGCAGCTCCACCCAGAGGGACCTCAGAAAAGCAAATATGTTTCATCAATTAAGCTGCAGTTTCTAAGTATAAAAAAAAAATAGCCGCCCACAGTTGGAACAACTTCCAAAGTTCAAAAACATTTTTCAGACAACAGCGTGATTGCTGCCACAGTGTTCACGTGGCCGAGACCAGAAAGGAAAGCTTGGGAAAAAAGCAGAGAATTCCCTCCGGGGGAGTGGAGGGCTATTTCTCTCTCTCCCTCTCTTTTAGAGGGTTTCTTTTTATTGTTCGTAGACTGGACCAGCAGAGGAAAATCAAGTGGGAGAAGAAAGCCCTCAGATAGGAAATCAGGCGCCGGGGGATGGGGGAAGCCAAGCAGGGAGGGAGAGCAGCAGCCTGGCTGGTTCTCACACTCCCAGGGGCAGGTGGAGGGGAACAGAGCTCGCTGGAGAATCCCGATGATCACTCACACAGATATGACCAAAGTACAGTGCGGGAGTGTTCAAGCCCTGACTCAGAGCAGCCGGGCCTTGGAAAAAAAAAAAAAAGAACACGCACACAGCATTTTTTCCTGGATGAATGGAACCTGCATCCGTATTTTCATTTCTAAGAGCAAAAGGCACGGTGTTTGGGAGGAGTGGGGAGGCCCCAACGCGCTCCTGGGCGCACCCAGGAATCGAGACTTCCACTCTCCATCTCCCTCTGGGATGACAGACAGACAGACAGACGGTCCCTAAAGCGGTCGCGACACTGCGGAGGCCTCTAATAAAGCCCTTTATAGCATAATTAACCTGGCCCGGGGAGCCCCGAGACCGCAGACGGCCCCGCGGTAAACTCAGCTCCCGAGGAAATCTGCGCGGATTGCGGCGGGGTGACACCGGAGCCGGGCCGGGAGGGGCCGGGCAGGGCCGGGCCCGGCCGGGCCGCCCAGCCCGGGGCGTGGCCGCGCCGGTTTCGCTCCCCGGGGCGCTCGCACCCTACCCCGCCCAGCCCGGCGCGGACCCCGCGGCGCGCGCTCACCTCGGCCCAGGACGCGGCCCCTCTCCAGGTGTCGCCGGGACACGGTGAACGTGTAGCTCTCGGCGCCGAAGCCGGGACGACAGGGATTGGGCTCCCCGCACAGCCGCGATGGGACCTGGGGGAGGGGAAAGGCACCGGGTCAGGGCGGTTCGAGGGGTCCCCCCGCCTGCCCGCACCGAAACTCGCGGCCGCCAAGCCCCCCAACCCCCCGCCCTCCCGTCGCGTCTAACTCTGCCCAACTCTCCGGTGACTGTGCCGGGAGGCTCCCTCGGTCTAGCGGCCCCAAACGCTCTGAACCGCACCCCCGCCCCCGATCCCGGCGCCCCCGGGTCTATTTGCCGCCTTCCCCTACCCGAAAGGTCCCCTTCTTCCTCCCGACCCCCACCCACCTGGCTCTCCCCCGAGGCGTGGGGCACCGGCTGCCAGTTTCCAACTCCTGCGCGCACACACGCGCGTTCCACAACCCGGTGCCCTGGACCCCCCGCCCCGCGCCCCCAGCTTGGCCGAGGCGCTGCGCCCGCACCGGCTCCCAGCCCCGTCGGTGGACAACGGGCTTCCAGGCCGGTCCGGCCTTCGGACAGAACTTTCCAGCCGGAGCGCGGGGCCGGCACGGGGGGCGGAGACGCCGCGGGCGCGACCTACCTGCAGGAGCAGCAGCCCCAAGAGCGCGGAAAGGCGGCGGCACCGAGGCCCCATGGCGGGCCGGAGGGTCGGTGGGGTGGGCTTGGGTCGCGGCGGGTCGGACAGCGCGCGGCCGCGATTGCAGAGACTCGCAGGTACGGCTTCGGCGGTTCCGGACACCACTGAGTCCGACAGCGCCGCCGCCGCCGCCAGGTGAGCCGCCGAGGCTCCGCCCCCGCCCCGCTGATTGGCTGGGGGGCGCACCTGCGGGCCGCAGCCAATGAGCGGCGCGGGTTCCACTTCGGCGCGGCCAGGGGGCGGGGCAGACAGCCTACGACCCCGCCCCCGCCCCGCACCGACCCGGTGACCAGCTGGCTGGCGATTGGTAGAGTCGGGGGCGCGGGGGCTGAGCTATTCAGGTGGGCTGTAGGTTCGAATACCTGGCCTGCTGCAGGCCTCGGGAAGAACTTGACCCCTTGAACCGTCGTCTGATGTTCTTTCCGGAGGGGCTACACCCGGTACTCTGGACTTACTCCTGGCTCTGCACTCAGGGATCACTCCTGGTTTTAGGTCAGGGGACCATAAAGGGTGATAGGGATCGAATCTGGGTCAGACGCTTGCAAGCAAATTCTCAGGGTGGTGGCGGGCAAGGGACTGAGACCCTGCCCGAGACTGAGGCCAGCAGGTGCCACGGAGCACCGGAAGCCACTCCTTTCTCATTCCAGTTCTTTTCCTCTCTGACATCACCTCGTGGTCCCTACCTGCTCTGGCCCCTAATGTTCTTTTATTTCAAGGTAAGAGTTTTGGGACACACTCAGGGGGCCGGTATCCAGGGGCTAGTCTTTGCTGTCTTCAGGGATCACTTCTGGTGGCACTGATGAACCATGTGTGATTTTGACCTCGTGCAAAGCCTTATCTTCTATGTTACAGCTCTAGATCTACAGCTTTCTTTTCAAGTTGGGATCTTTATGAGTGAATCTGCAAATCAATTCACCTGCAGGACCCATATTTTATTTTTTATTTGGGGGGCCACATTCAGTTATGCTCAGAGCTTACTCCTGGCTCTGTGCTCAGGGATCACAGGGCTTCGGGGATGATATGGGGTCCTGCATATCAACCCTAGTAGTTGGGATTGCTCCTCCAGCCCATGAACTCATTTTTCAAAGCCTCAGCCTCCCCCTTCTTCTAAAGAGGATAATAAGCAATAAGCATAGGTTGTTATTATTATAAGAATAATAATAATATTCTTATAATAATAGCAACCTATGTTGTTGTAACCATTCCATACAATCCATAAAACCAGTGTCTCTGCACCATGGAAGCTGTGAGGGAAGAAATGTGAGGGATAAAAATAGAAGTATTTGGGGCTGGAGCACTAGTATACTAGGTTAGGCATTTGCCTTGCATGTGGCTGACCCGGGCTTGATCCCCGGAATCCCAAATGGTCCCCTGAACAACTGGCCAGGAATAGTTCCTGAGTGCAGAGCCAGGAGTAACCCCTGAGCATCGCTGGGTGTGAACCAAAAAGAAAAAAAAAAGAAGCAACTAATTTAAAAAATAAGAAGCAATAGAGGCTGGAGAGATAGATCCCAGGCATCACACATGGTCCTTTGATCACAGAGCCACGAACTAGCACCCAGCACTGAGTGTGTCCAAGCCCCCCCTCCCCCAAATACCTATAAAAAAATTGGGGGGGTGGGGCCAGGGATGGAACACAAGGTATCACATATATAAAGCATATGCTCTAACACTGTGCTAAATCCTGGCCCCTAAAAATAAACATTGAGTCGTTCCAAAATGAAAAAGAAAGAAAGAAAAACAAACAATAGTAGCAGCTGGACAGTGCAGTGCTGTGCCAGGCTCCGTGCTAAGTATTGATCACTGACTATCTCATCCAGTTACATCTCAAAATAATCAGGGTGGTGGCAGGCAGGGGACTAAGATCCAAAGGACAGGAAGAGGCCAACAGATGACACGGAACACCGGAAGCCTCTCCCTTCTTTCTTATTCCCATTCTTTTCCTCTCTGATCTTCACTCATGGCCCCAGACAGTCTCTGTGGAGCTGCAATCCAACCTGTCCTCTATTTATTTGTTCCAGTTTGGGGACTACATTTGTTGGTGCTCAGGGGCAATTCCTGGCAATCCACTCAGAAGTGACCCCTGGCAATTCTTGGGGGACCATATGCAATGCCAGGAACTTAACTGGGGTCAGTAGAATACAAGACGAACACCCTGGGGCTGGAGCGATAGCACAGCGGACAGCGGATAGGGCGTTTGCCGTGCACACAGCCGACTTGGGTTCGATTTTCAGCGTCCCATATGGTCCCCTGAGCACTGCCAGGAGTGAGCCCTGAGCATCACTGTGTGTGACCCAAAAAGAAAGAAAAATTATTTGGGTAAACAAAGACTAGACATCTAGACATGCTAATAGCTTCCTTCCGGGTCTGATTTCCAGGAACCAGCACTATCTCTGGTTCGGCTACTCTGACAAGAAAACCAGCTTTGCTTTCACTCTATAGCGCCGAGTGAGTCATCCGCTCACTGGTCCCATCCCTCAGCCTTCCCATGGGTCTAGATGGGCCAACAGGAGCAAATCCAAGAAAACCATTGACTAGAGGACTTGGCATCTATGGGCACTGTTCAGTCACCACCTCTTCCTTCTTTGGTGGTTTTTTTTGGTTGGTTTTGGAGCCACTCTGGCAGTGCTCAGAGACGCTTCCTGGCTCTGTGCTTAGGAGTGGTGTAGAGATTTCAAACCAGGGTTAGTTGGATGCAAGACTAGTGCCCCCTACCTGTGTCCTATTTCTCTGGCCCTTCCCCTGCTCTTTGGAAAGAAGCTTCTTTTGCTCTTCCTCTTGGGATTTTCAAACATTTGGGAATTTCAAACATTTCACCCAGAGCCAGAGTGCATTTGCTTGCAGAAGGCTGGCACTGGATTCCTAAGCACCACCATGAGAGTCCCCTGAGCACAGAGCTGGGAGTATCCCCAGAGCCCCACCATGTGTGTGTCCAGTACCCCCTCCCCCCAAAAAAACCAAAAACATTCCACTCAGAGCTACTGGGTGGGTTGCTTTGCCCACGGAGGGAACTTTTTGAACCCCAGAGGAGAGAGATCACCTCAAGACAGGACCGTTTCCGGTCAGCGGGGCCCCACCCCCACTCCCATTGAACGGGTCTCTGAGTGCAGTGCCCAGGGCAGCTGCTTGGCTGCCGGCCTCTAGAACCCCAGGGCTCAGCAGGGAATGGCTCCAGCATTTCCTTTCCCTCGGACAAGATAATGGAAGCACAGAGGCGTTGCCCCAGGGGTGGAGGTCTGTCAGTTATTTATGTTTCTCCCAGTTCTGTAAAAATACATATTTTAAACCAACCCCAGCCCGGGGAGCCTCTTAGACATCAGGGCTTTGCTAGCGTCCAGCCCGACCTTGGAAGCGGTTGGACCCCCGCGTCTCTTCCAGGACTCATTCAATACAAACAGTTTGCGAGATGCGGCACTGCAGACTCTCCAGTGAGAGGCCAGGGGCCGGGCAGGGGATGGGTAGGGCCACGGCTCTGCAGGCGGTGCCTCAGTTTCCCTGACGCGCAGGCTGCATAGAGGGTTCGGGCTCTGCCACCAGCCAGCAGGGCCACAGCGTGATCTCCCTGGATCTCAAGTCTCATCCGCAAAATGGGGCTGTTGAGAGTACTTAACCCGACAGCTCGGTCCATCAGCCCAAGCCATTAGCGGAGGGCTCGGGGCCCGACCTTCCCCTCCCGGTTGGCGCCAAGCCCTAGCCCTGGGGGAGCGCCGGGCCGCAGGCTCGCTTTTCTCCACCACCCTTGCAAATCTCCTAAGTTATCTTGAGCCTTTGCTAGAACTAGGGGGGGGGGGGGGGGAGCGACTTTCAAGTGGTCTGGTTAGGGATTCGACCCTCCCCCGAAATAGCAGTCATTAGCATTTTAAAGGGAAGAGAATGGAAGCTGCTTCCTTCAAAGGCGTGAAAATGTGGGAGCTACTTTGCACTCTCCCGGGGGAAGGGGTGGGGGAGGGGGCCTCACACAGCTTAGGATGTGCTCTTTCTTTTTCTCTGGGGGAGTGGGGGAGGTGGATGGTTGGGTTTGGGGATCCCCAGGGCTTAGCGTTGGTGCCCAAGAAGGGAAGGTCCCGCAGGGGTCCTCTGCAGGAGTTGGGGATCAATCCTGCTGTGCTGGAGGCTAGTCCAGGTTCTGTGCTCTGGGAGAGATTGGGAGGGAACCCAGGTTGCCTGTATGCAAGCAGGCACCTGCACCCCTGGGTTCCGTGAGGGGCTTCCGGAGGGAAGGAGCATCCCTGAGCCCCTAGAGGAGAGATTTCAGATCTAGGAGCTGGGATCTTCCCAAGGTCCCTCCAGCGGGAATGGGGGAGAATTTGGGGTATCCACAGGTAAACGCCCACCAGCCTGATCACACTGGGCAAGATCTGAAGGTTAAAGTAGGTAAAGGGATATTCTTGATAACCTTTCAGTATCAAGGGCTGGAGAGATAGCGCAGCGGGTAGGGCTTTTGCCTTGCAAGCCGCCGACCTGGGTTCGGATTCCTAGCATCCCATATGGTCCCCCGAGTACCACCTGGAGTAACTTCTGAGTGCAGAGCCAGGAGTAATCCCTGTGCATCGCCAGGTGTGACCCAAAAAGAAAAAAAAAAAAACCTTTCAGTATCAATACTGCAAACCACAAAGCCCAAAAAAGAGAGACAGAGACAGACAGAGAAGGGGGTGGGGGTGATGGGAGGGAACCTGGGGACACTGGGGACACTGGTGCTGGGAAAAGTACACTGGTGGAGGGATGTGTGTTGAAATACTGTATAACTAAAATCCAACCATGAACGGCCTTGTAAGGGTCCTTCTCACAATGATTCAATAAAAAAATAATAATAATAATAAAATTTAAAAATAGAAACGCCGGTCAGAGAGATCTTCCCGGAAACAAGAGACCCCCACCACGCAGCAGCCGGGCGGCCCCTTTGGGGTGAGCATTCCAGGTTTCCTTATTGCAGGGTGCGCCTCTGGCAGAGCTTTATTTCTTGGGTGTCCTGGCGACTGAGGCAGCCGGAGTTAATGATTAATCCCCCAGCAGAGCTGCTCCTTTCCTCTCTTAGGCAAAGGGCTTGGGCGGGTGGGGCAGCCCTGGCCCACCGCACCCACCCATCGCGGCTGGGGGGAAGGGCGACGGGGAGGAGGAAGCGGCCGGCCGGGGGATCGCTGGGGCAGCCGCTGGGGCTGTTTATCTGCACCCGGGCCCGGGGCTCG